ATTTAAAGTCCTATATTATCAATAATATAGAAAAATAGTGATGTTTAACAAATGTAGGCACACATTGAAAATGGGCGGTTGTGAGTGTTAAGGAACCATCCTAACCAAGAACGAATTTATTTGATTTAGTTTTCAAACCAACAAAATTTAAAAGCTTCAATTTAAAATTATCGATTCACTCATGCAGAGCAACCTTGAAATTAACTACGGTCAAAGTGTGATAACCCTCTTTTTTTGGGGGGGGGGGGTGTCCTTAATAAAAAAAAAAAGTTCACCTACACAGTTATGAAAACTTGAGTAAGGAATTGCCCCATTCTAGATCTATCTGAAAGTATTGAATTCCATTGATTCGTACTTTCTTTTTTAGGTTTTTAGTTTTCTTCAAATACACTGATAAAGGTCGTAGTGTCAAATCAGTTCACCAACAGTGTTTGCAAATTTCATAAGCCATACAACACAAAATGCTTTTAGAAAATGTTCCATGAAATACTTAAGTTAAAACATATCAATGTTGGATCGGGTATTAATACTTGAAGTAATAAAATAAATATCAACGAAATATAAGAGCAAAATGATTTATTAGTCAATCAAAACTACATTTGTAGGTGACATACTCCATACATGCATTCACATAATAACAATTAATAATATTATAAATATTAGAAATGCTCAATGATGTAGTCAATGATAGCAGCTTTGTCATAATTAGGAACCATGATTCCTGAAAGTACAAAGTATTATACATTTTTTAATCGGGCCAATTCAACAGAAAAATATTTTGAGAAAAATTATGTTTTCAACTAGCAAAAGATTATTATTTCAAATCATTGAAGAATTATAATGTAAAATTGCATTACACATTATAAGTAAAATTTATAAATTTTATTTTTTTTTTTTTAAACTGATAATGTAATTGATAATGTTTAATAGTCTTTTTAATAGTTTTTGAAAATATTTTGCAACATATTTATTGAATATTTTTCTATTGTATATATTACTTATCAAGTCCGCTTTCATTTGAGCAAATTTATTAGTGGATGTATCCATACCCTTTGCAAATCTTACACCATGCATGAGTAAGCATAAACAAAAAAAGTTTATATAATCTTTATATCCATTATTTTCGAATAAATCTAATACCAATCCCTATTGTTATTAGAATAAAAATAGACATTAAAATTTACAAATAAAAATTGTTTTAGCAAAATAATGTGAACGTTAAAAACATTTTTCAGATTCATTTTTTAAAACAATAATTCACATTTTGCAAAGATAGGAAAACCTTAGAATATTTATAATCATAAATATAAATATGATGTACTTGTTGTACTTACAAGAATAAATTAAACCAATGTTACATAAAATAATTGAAAGTTTGAATACATAGCCGCAAAAAACCACCTAACCAACCTTTAAACTATATTATAGTAATTTTAGTTTTTTAGTTACCTTCATCTCATTGTCACCTACAATACCTCGGGCGATGTCTACAACTTCGTCTTTCGAAAATGTAAGGCCTAAAAGAACAACATTTTAAATATATTTTTTAAAAGTCCCATTTGGATTAGAAGGTAATAAATAATAGGATAATATTCAACAAATGTGTTTAACGCACGTTTTTTAATGGTGCACACAAAAAATTTAGCAAAATATGAGATGCATGATCAGATTTGTGCTTGATTTGGACTGTACTGGTTTGAAAATACTAACTACTAATTTGCATCGAAGCGTTTATTCGAAAGTGATTTTATCACTTTCAGTTGTAATAATTACAGTAAACCTATGACCTCTCCGACCACCGAGCCACTGTACTGGCTTTTTTTAAATCTGATCATGCATCTCATATTTTGCTAAATTTTTTGTGTGCACCATTATAAAATGTTTGATAAACACATTTGTTCAATATTATCCTATTGTTTATTACGTTCTAATGCCTCTTCTAAATCAGCACGGCCCTCGAGGATTCCATCTGCGCCTGTTTCCTGATTTACTTCTCCAAATATTCCTAATAACTCTTCGTAGGTTATTCCATTTGGATTGTAACGGTCTTTGACTATTCTTGTTATTTTTTCCTATTGTTATAAGAATAAAAATGACTCATTTAATTGTATGTTACAAATAGCAAGTTAAACTGATCCATCTTTAATGAAATAAAAATGCCTAACTACCACGCTTATTAGTCGTTAAAGTCTTTTTTTGTTATAAAAAATTGGTTATAAGTGAAAATATTACTTTAAAAACGTTTCAATGCGTAAACGTAGAAAGTTTGATTATAAATACATTTTCTAATCAATACATTAAATTTGTACATTTTTAAGTAACAATCTCAGCACTTTTTATTAATCATAAATAATAAGTACTCGTTATCCTTACAATTTGGTCTTGATTAGGGCCAGCACCTTGACATTGCCAATAGTACAATGCCACGCAAAAGAACAGTATCATGGTTTTATAAAACATTTAAAATATTCAAACAATAAACTTAGATTCGGAATAGTTAATTTTTAGTAGTAAAAATTGTTTTGAAAATATGACCTATGACGATTTTATATAATGTTATGGGAATATTGTATTATGGCTTGAAGCTTATGAATGAAATAGTGTTTTAGCGAATTGCCTCAGTACTGACTATAAAGGAATATACTTGAGAAATGAAAACAGTACCATGTTTGTAACTGTTGATCCGTGCGATTTTTTTTAAACAACAGATACTTAAGAACGTTTTTATTTGCGTTGTATGGCATTCATAATACACTCGCTCCCTTAATGTTCTTTTTTTACGTACTTACCTCATTTTAAAACTGTTTACTCATGTACAAAATATATGCATATATTGTCAACGTTTATCGATAGTGCCCCATCTAAAGAACATAATATCTAGAATGATCTAGAATGGGACAATAACATAAACAAACATTTTCCTTAAAAATCTGTTGTTAACCTTTTTTTGAAGAAAAACTGTGGAAAATAAACCTAATATCTAAAAATAGAGGTCACATATTTCTTTCCTTTGGACCGATTTACTTGAGTATCCGACATATCCGAATGGTTCTTCACCAAAAAAACCAACAAAAATCGAGAATTTGCCGTATTTTAGACTTTGACCTTTAACCCACTAGAACTTAGCGGAAAACAGTCGGATCGAAACGCAATTTTTATAGAACATTTATTAGGCATGCCTCTATCGCAAAATAGCCTCAAAATTGTAAAAAAAAAAAAGGAAAACTACAAAATTATAATTTTTCTTAAGACATATACAGGGTGGCCCACAATGATTTGACAAATGAAATAACTATAAATAATGAAATAATAAATTTTGTTCTAGTGAATATTTCTGAGATTTTTTTTTTTTAATCATTTGTAATCATTTGCGTTATAAAAACCGTGGTGCTTGTAACGCAAATGAGTATAAATTATTTTTTTAAAAAACCTCACACAAGTGACAAAACCACTTTAAAATAAACATTTCAATGCTAACCCGTGTACGGTATAAATCATACAAATATCTATAAAAGCATTGCAATGAGCACGAGTCACTTAAAATCATATTTTAGCTTCGATTTGGAGCAAAGATGTTGTTGGTTTTACAATGATGTGGGCTTTTTTTTTTGTCTGTATACACTATAATTTTTTTAATACTGGACCAATTCCTTCGTGTAGCAACTGTATAAATCATAAATTTCATACAGTTGGTTCTTTGAGGGGGGGGGGGGTAAAAGTTGAAAAAACTCACACTTAAAATTAAAAAAAAATAGCCAGTACAGTGGGGTCGGAGCTTAGTGGGGACAGATCATGGTGGTGTCGGAGAATAGTGGAGACGGGGAGATCACAGGTTAACAGTAATTTTTAAATCTGAAAGTGATAAAATCTGTACTTGGTATGGACTGTACGGCCTGAAAATTTTTTATTTCAAATTTTAACTGTGAAAAACTAAACTTTTTTATCTTTTACCTCCCCCCCCCCTCAGTACCAGCTAGGTAAAATTTGTGACTTACAGAGTTGCTATAATAATTAAAAATAAAAATATTGTCACAATATTACTCTCGATTCCCTTGTTGTTAAATTTGCCGAGAGGACTAGTACAGTAGGGTCGAGGTATAATGGAATCTACAGGAATTATTATTAATATAAGTCATAAAATCACTTTAAATTTGTAAACACTGCACCTTACTTTAATTCTTATTTACTATGCCGGTTTATGCTGTGCTTGGTTTGGACTTTACTCGTTTGAAAATACTAACTACTAATTCGCATCGAAGCGTTTATTCGAAAGTGATTTTATCACTTTCATGTTTAAAAATTCCTGTAAACATGTGACCTCCCCGGCCCTAATATGCCCCGACCGCATTATATTGGCTTTTTAGTTTTCCTTTTTAAAAAACATTTATAATTAATTATTTTGGAAAAATATGTGTTAAAAAAATATTCAAATGAATATAATATACATTTTATATAACAAATATTATTCAAACTATATAGAAACAGTGTTGTTAACGTACGACACAAATGGCAATGTTATTCGGAAAATAACAGAACGTTCATGTTTCTAATTTTTCAGGCCAATGAGATGTGAAGAGTGTTCGACCTTTGAAATGATCTATAACAAAAATAAAACAATTTGTCTTATTACTAGAGAAGCTATTTTTATAGTAATAGTTCTGTACATTTTTTTTGTATTTTCAGGTTACTTAATAGAAAAATAACACCTTATATAAAAACCTAAAAAACCTTAAATAATTGATAAAATCAATTGTAAAAGTAATTATTACAAATATTTTGAAATAAACAAATATTTATTTCATTTATAATAATTCATAATAATTATTGTAAGAACAATGATTAATCGTAACACCGCTTTAAACATAAATTAATATATTTATCAAGAACGAAAACGTATAAATAAAACATATTTATTAGAGCATAATAAAAGCAAAGAAAAGTATTTATTTAGTATAAATATTGGATATTAAACGTAAAAAAAAATATAAAACAATTTGTTATTTGTATAACATAAATATATATATATATATCTATATATAATATAAAAATAGCATGTAATAAATAATTTGAAGTAACACTATCTACTTGTAGAACAAAGTAAAATTTTAAAAAATTTTTAAAATTATTAATCAAGTACTTCAACCTTGTATCCATATTTCATTGAATTTGTTGTTATAAATAAATAATTATTAATTAGCTTAAATTTTGGCAAAATATTAGATTTTTAGATTTTCTATGTCCAGTGTTTTTGATTCTCGCTTTTTCGGTATTATACCACTGACTTTCATGTACTCCATAAACTGTTTAGGCACTTCGGCCAACACGTCCTTAGCTAAAAGTAGGTTGGCCGTATTTGGATCGTTACTTAGGTACTGGTTAAATGGTACAAACTGGACTATATCTCTGGCGGCCCTAACACCGTTGGCCGTTTTCAATCCGCTCTTATCCGAATCCAATTCTTCCATTGCGTCAAACTCTGCGTTGCCGATACCCACAATGATAATTGAGATCGGCAATAACGATGCCTTGACTATGGCCTGGAAATTATAAAAAAAAAGGTAATTTACACACTTCAAATCCAGCACACTTTTTACTGTAACACAATAATGTAGCCAATAAAATTACTTCAACTGTTTGCTCCATATCGGTTATGGCGCCATCGGTGAGTATGAGCAAAATAAAATATCCATCCCCGGCTTGGTTGTTTTGGGCTATCCCAGCCACATGATTAACAATTGGTGCAAAATTTGTCGGCCCGTATAACTGCACTTGTTTAATACAGTTGCGATACGCATCCAATACGCCTGTTAACGGCAGGCACGTGTATGACTTGTGTTAAAACCAATTGACAAACAATAATGATTTTGTTATTACCTCTCACTCCGAAACAATGTGGGTTATCGACGCTCATATTCACGAAAAATTCGTGAGACACTTGTCCGTGTGGCGGAATTTTAGCGCCAAATCCCAAGACCGGAAACTGTTTGTCGCTGTCGTAGTCTTCGATTATCGAAACTACACTCCATATGGCTTGTTCGTATAAGTTCATGGACGCCGCGTTAACGTAATGTAAAGAAGACGGGTCCGACGGGTTTCCGTTGGATCCTGATTAAATATGAAAAATATTTAATGGTTACCAGTCAATACATCCGGTTATAGAATATACAGTTTAATCAACTAAAATTAATAGCAGCCGTAGAGCCGGATTAAAGGAGGGACTAAAAAGGTTAACCTAACCGCTCCAACCCCCCTTTAAGAAAAAGGGCCCCCTTACAAATTTGGTAATTTTGGATTGACCATTGTTGGAGAAAAAAATTTCAAGTTAATACTTTCTCTGTTTTAATAGACAAATTGACACAATACATATATAAATGCTTGTAATCTGTTTTGTTATTAATTTTAATTTTTGGTAAACATTAAAACTGACACCTATGTACTTACAAAAAGTTTGTAATATATTATAATATTATTATAACGAATACATTTTTTTTACATACAACATTTAGACTTCCTTTCAAATCATTTCAATACACCTTTTATAAAATAATATTTTACATAAATTACCAGTGAAATCGATAGCCACTGTACAAAAAATTTCAGTTCCGCCTTGAATATAGTCCAAAAATGAATACAATGCGTTTATTTTTATGTTTACGACAGATATTTCCCCGGAATCTTTGTAATCCTTTTTCTTTTGCTGTAAAAGACAAACAATGTTTGCTATTTAAGTCAAATTTAAATATTTCTCGAGAATGTCAATATACCTTTTTTTTTTCGTTGATACATTTAAAAGTAGCGTTGGGCTCTAAAAGACCTTTGAGAGTTGTGTAAAATTCTCCAATGAGACTGTGATCGCCGCTAGAGTTCCAGTCGAAACAAATTACTTTCAAATTGCGGTCATAATCTCCATTACACAATAATCGAACTGGCATACTGAAACTCTTCCAATGAGGTGAAAGCGTATCTTTTATAACCTAAAACATGGTTTTTGTTTTTAGAAAATTAATTAATAAGAATTACTTTTTGGGAATATCAACACACGTCAGTTTTGTAGACCAACGTGTAATTTCCAGTATCTGTGAGCTTGTAAAATTCTAAAAACGGGTCTGATTTTCCAAAAAAATCTTTTTTGTCCAATTTTTGGCCTTTTAATTCTAATATAACCTCGTTGTTATCATTGGTTAACTCTTCTGCAGTTACAATTAAGTAGCTACCTTTTAAAGCGCCTTCGCGATTTGTCAACTGCAACTTATTCTGAAATAATAAATGCGTTTAATGAGTACAATCGTTTAATCATGCATGACTCAATTATATCAGAGATTTTCTTACACGTTTATTGGCAACAAGTTGTCCAAGAGTAATAGTGATTGTGCCGAGAAAATCGTGTGCAGACAAGTCTTTGTCTTTCGAGTCTGAATCATAAATTTCAAACAATATCGGCTGTTGCTCTTCGAACCTGTAGCCGATCAAGACTTTGGAAACAAAATTTGGATCCTGATTATTTTTCACCGTTTCTGTACGATGATATTCCACCCATTTACGTTGGCCAAATGGTTGTACATACGTGACACACATCGGATCAGATTTGGATAACGTGTCAGTACCAGATAAACCTCTGAAAATAATTTAACTGTTTTTTTAAGGGTCAAAATAATAAATTGGAGATTTATAGGCCACATTTTTAAAAATGTGTTGAAAAAAAAACCAACAAGACAAAGCGGCTAAAATTTATAATAATTTATTTAATATAATAATTGTTTTTAGAAAATTACCGGCACGCTAATGAAAGTTCTATGTCAACCGAAGGACTGACTGCAGTTCCGGGTGTAAATGCCATATTTTTTTTTTATTACTAAAAAATACTAAGTAAGATAAAGTCAAAAATTCGTTTTAACAAATAACAAAAACAACACTTAGAACGAATAAACGTCAAACAATAATTTATTTATTATTTTCATTTATAAAAATAATTAATTATAATATCAAATACTATCATTTATATTATTATTTATTTGATAATATTGACTTGACTCTCAAGCGCGATGCAGAGAAGATAAGGTGACGTCACTCAACTTCTTATCGGTAAGCATCTTAATGACAATTTAATATTTATGCTTCAGGCATTTTGGGTAGTTCAGCTTAACAGTAAAGGCAAGGCCCCACCAAAATTATCTGGTAAATTTAAAAAATAGTAAAATATTTAACAGTTTAGACCGTTTTGATAATTTTATTTTGTTTTTTTCCCACGCTGCATATTTGACATCACATAAAATAAAATATAGTTATTAATTTTGTTAGCTAGGGGATGTTTTTGAAAACTTATTTTTTTTTTTTATTAAATGCTCATTGGAAATATTCTTTAGACCTTCAATAACTATAAACTCAAATTCAATAAAACTTATCTGGTGCCTAAAATTCGTTATAGGAGAGGGAGGAGTGCTGGTCGAGGGAGATTTTTTTCTTGTACCTACTTATATATTAGGGTTGTATTATAATGATTGTCATAGGTCGATCAAAAACGTCATTTGTGGGCTAGGAATTGGGATAAATAAAACTAAGCTATCTAAGTGACAAAAAAATTGTACTACCAAAGTAATTTCCAGCACCACTGTTTTGGTCGAAGTGGCATCACCTTATTTTCTCTAGATCTTGCACTCAAGTCACTGTTATCAACTGTCAAATTACCTACATTCATTGATAACAGAAAATGTGATAAAAATCATACGAGTAAAATTAGTTATTCAAAATAAGTGAATTACCGACAAAAGACCTTAAAAACAAAATGCACCATAACGTACGATATTATTATTACTATTATTTATTCTTATCAGTGTTTGGAAAATTCTTTTTAAAAAATAACGCATTCCCAATTTCTCAACTCACCGTTCCTTTATTTTCATAATGAAAGCATTCCATGTGCAATGAAAAAAGAGTCATGTATAATATTTACTGTTGCGCTAAATGGGTATTAAAATAATTTGATTTATTGTAAAATATACAAACGGAGTAGCTGTAGGTGAACCTTATACCATTATTTTGTAATATAAACGAAGCCACTCAAATTGTGGCTCGACCATGACTTAAAATTTTGTTTTTAAAAGTTTTAAAATCGTAGAATTGGTGTATAAATAAAATACCTGATATGTAATTGAATTGATATATCTAATACCTGGGTATAATATTAATAATAATAAACAAATTCCTGGCTCGAAAAATACCATAATCAATACTGGCTAAACTATTCATTTTTGTCACTGGCTCAGGGCCATAATTCTCATTAGGCAAGAAAGGCATATATTATGGACCACAAATTAAAGGAGCTATACTAAATCCACTTAGCACACAAGACAACTAAGAAACCCTATTTTTAGGTAAATTTAGTCGTTTGCGCACATTTTGTAGACACAACACTAACATATTGGTTAATATAAATAATTGACTGTATGCAAACAGCTATACAGAGAAAAAAAGGTCCAACCGAAATAAAAATATGAGACGATAAGGATTGTTGCAATAAAGTTATTATTAATGTAATCCGAGTTGCACACCGTTCCACCTTAGACGTATCTCAAGATTTCTTCATATTAGATTAAATTAATTTATTGAGTTGCACGTTATTGTATGATCGAATATTTTACAAACTAGGTTAAGTTAAAATACTAAAAACGTTTATTTAAATAGTCTTTCACAATGTAACAGAGATATAATTTTTATCGTCAACTTAGTGTTATCGATTTGGCTACATCAATAACTAATCCGGCGCATTGTGTAGGCAATTCAATAGCTCACGAGAAAGACGGTTATATGCGGTCTGTTTTTAAGGAGTTTTGTATAGGCAATGTTAAAGAAAAAACTAAAAGTTCATAATTTTTTTTTTTTTTGCATTTAAGTGTATAATTTCAATCTAAAATTCTCAACCTAATCCAAGCGTAGTCGTTTCCCTGGACTCCGTGACCAAGCCGAATAGGTACGACAATACAAACTGTACTGTGGAACGGCAAGTATCCAAGCAAACACAATTGGGTTTAGGGTTGATCGTGTTTTTGCAACTATACAGTTAAGATTTTTTATTTTTTTAAAATAATTTAGGTGATAAGGAAATGATAATAATGTTGAAGCGGTATCACATTTTGGTTACACAAAAAAAAAACTTGTCAACAATTAGTAATTTGAATCGAAATTTAGTTTTTCTTTTAATATAAAACATAGTATTGATTAATTAGACGAAAAAAAAAATACATAAATGTATTTAAATTCTACACACTGTTGTATCATCTATGTATACCGACTATAAATACAGAAAATCATATTTGTTATTGGATATGAATAAAATTATAACAAAATAATATGTACTTATAAAATAAATATATATATATATGTATAATAATTTATCGTCGACCTAGTTGTACGTCATGTAACGTGGAGTAGACGAAAACTTGGCGTATGATTTGATGACCTTGTTGACAGCTTCCAAGAAGTCTTTTTCGGTCGCCACTTTTCTACGTGCTCTAATGGCGAACATCCCAGCTTCGGTGCATACTGATCTGATTTCAGCGCCTGTAAAAAGTATCGCGTGACAGCATATCAAAAGCATAAAAAAACAAAACAAGTAGGTTAATTTATCGTCGTACCTGTACTGTTCGGACAAAGTCTGGCCAACAGTTCAAAACGAATATCACGTTCAACACTCATTGCCCTGGCGTGTATGTTGAAAATATGAGTACGCCCTTCCAAGTCGGGCAGTCCAAACTCGACTTTTCGGTCTAAACGTCCGGGTCTCATCAAGGCTGGGTCCAACGTGTCGGGTCTGTTTGTAGCCATTAACACTTTGATATTTCCTCTAGGATCGAATCCGTCCAACTGATTGATAAGCTCCAACATGGTACGCTGGACTTCGTTATCGCCACCAGCGCCATCATCGAAACGAGCGCCGCCGATAGCGTCGATTTCGTCAAAAAATATTAAACAAGCTTTTTTGCTACGAGCCATTTCAAAAAGCTCACGCACCATTCGCGCGCCCTATATAACAAATAATATAGAATATTTTTAATTTGGGCGGTCGTTTGAAATTAGATAGATTGTTAATGAGAAAATAGGTAATGATAATTTTAATTGTTCAGTTATTAACCTCTCCAACGTATTTCTGTACGAGTTCTGAACCGATAACACGAATAAAACACGCATCCGTACGATTGGCAACTGCTCTTGCACACAAAGTCTTGCCTGTACCCGGCGGTCCAAACAACAATACTCCTTTGGGTGGCTCGATACCCAAATTTACGAATTTCTCAGGCTATAAAAATATTTAAACAATTACATATTAGACAAAGTGGAAAAAAAATTAAACCACTCAATAATGACTTACGTGTAACAGCGGCGTTTCAACAACTTCACGGAGTTTGTCTATTTGCTCTTTGCACCCTCCAACATCGGAATAAGTGACATCAGGTTTTTCTTCGACTTGCATCATAGTAACAGTTGGATCGATTTTAGGCGGTAGAGGAATATGAATTTGATATTTATTACGATCCACGCTAAAAATTATACACCCAAAATGAATGAATTACATGTAAATATGTAACAAAAAAAAAAAAAACTACAAATATACCCGACACGCATTCCTTCTTCAATATCAGTTGGTGCTACGGAATCAGCGAGATCAACAACAAATTTCGCAAACTGCTTTACATTGATTATATATTTTGGATCGTCTGAATCAGCATTTATAATTTTGGTACACCTCGCCACCTAGTAACATCAAATGTATAGTACAACAGATAAAACGAACATATAATACTATGGCGATGTTTCAATTAAATTAAAAATACATTTTAGATTTAAAACTTTTTTTTAAATTGTCGTGTAAATCTCATTTCAACCAAACCGCAAATTATTTTTCGGTTCAATTTACTTGGACTCATAAAGTCTTTTAATAACACCAGTCAATAATGCCTGCCAAAAACTATATTTTCTACACTTATTAATTACCTGTAATGGTTGTTCATTTTGTAGAGTTTGTTTATCAGCAGTTAGATCCCAAAATGCAGGCGGCGCTAATCCAGTATCCGATTCTTTAATTCCGGTCAATTCATTTATTCGCTTAATTATGCTTTGAATATCGTCTTCAACAGCTTTTACATTTATTGTCCATTGACCTTGACCCTTTGATAGAATAACAAATTAGATATTTATTTTAATTTTTAAGAAGATGTGTACATGTAATATATATTGATGGTTAAAAAGTTTTTATTGTAAGCGACGCAATCTGATAGGGCAAATAACGTTTCTCTGTGGCATTGATTCAAAGATGGAATTTATCATTTATATTATAATATATAAAATATCTTTTTAACCATCTATACAAAGAAAAACATTTAAAATAAACATACGTATGTTTTCAGCAATGCAATATCCTCTTCGTCCAAAGCTAGAAAAAAATGTATTTTATTAGTTATACAACTTTATTGAATTATACTCAGTTAAACATTAAAAGAACAGTTGTCAACTTTTTCTAAGATTTATTGCAAGATACAGAAAGTTACTTTAAAACTATATTAAAGAAAAACAAGCGAGGTATTATTTATTCGTTTAAAAATTTTTATTTAAAACAAACATGATGAATAAAAATATATTTCAATGATGCTGGTCCTCATAAAAAATTGGCTTACTAATCCACAACTTTATAATTTTATACTCTCTTTTAAATAATAGATATTATACTCAAAGAAAGTGTAATTTTCCCCTATTTTGGGGGGTTTATTTTAATATCAAAAAAGTTTGACAACAGATTTTTGAGAAAATTGAATATGTTATAGCCCCATTTTAGATCTACCTTCGGTCTAATTTTCAGATCTTAAACTCTATAATTTCAACTAAACAATCATAATAGAGAAAAAAATTCTACCCCTTTTAGAATAAAAAGTTTATGATATTTGTTTGGTTTGCGAACGTTTATCGGTAGAACTGTACAAAGAATATTTCATATAAATTTGAGTACTTTAAAAAAAGATGAAGAGCGCCAAATTGAAAAATATGTAAATTAGTTAGGTGTTTTCTCATTTATTAATATTCTGAACCACCAAAGTACAAATCGGCTACAATTGCAGAGTCGATAGAGTAGCTACTCGAGTAAAAAGAGGAAAAGAGTTATTGTGTTGTTCACATCACTGTAAAACTAAGCTTACGCATCGAAGCTAAACGTTGACGTTATCGATCAATTAATCAATATCCCCAAGTTGGCTATTTAATTAGAATTTTCGCAAAACAATCCAATGAACTTAATTTATATTGAAATCAAACAAACGAGAAACAAGAAAAAAAAACTCTTACACTTGATTTCTTTTTCTTCTTTTTTTTCCGGTTCGTCTTTCTTCACCTTTCGCATTTCATCGCCTAAGTAATCAGGCATCTTGAACGACAAACGACTAGTAGAGGTACTTTCTAAAGTAAAAATTTAAAACGAACTCGAGACAAGAGCTGTTGTAAGTTTGAAAATGACAAACGAAAATAATCAAACGTCTATTGGCGAATATTACAGAATTGCTGATTTTAAAAATGTATAGGTATAATAATAATACTCAATAATGATAAAGCTGTTTTCTAGTACACACATATCAAATTTTTTCAGATACCGACCAAAAACATTTTGAGGTTAACTTTGTTGATGATTTGTGAGTTTGCCACCAGCGCCATCTTTGATGTTGATGGATAACTAAAAAAAAAAACTACAAGATTATGTGGTGTTTATTATTATTTCTTATGAATTATTTCTTTTTTTTTTTTTTGATAATATAAATTATTATTATTGTTGTTCGGGTCCTTCGACATGAAATAGGTGGATTATAATAAATATATATATATATATATATATATTACTGTAGTGTAGGTATATTTTGTATAATATTGTTGTTCAAATTTTTCAAACACTCCACTTTAGTATGTAAGATAATATTATATTTTATGGCTTTATGAAACGTATCCATTGATAATCGAATCCTAATCATTTTAACGCGATGTTGTTACATTAAATCGGATACCTTTTTTATTTTGCAATCACATAACGGGATATTCTATATACCTACCTAAGCGAGGCTTGTTTGGGTGTACACAATCTTATCCATAACGTTGTGCCGTGCATAAATTTCCTCTGGTAAGTATCTACTCTTAAGATTCACTTTTTTCGACGTGCAATACGTTTTAATTATTATTAACGCACGTTTTGTGTTAAAAACGATTATTTCAAAACCGTGTACAAAATCTAACATAGGTTTGCCTACTTATATTTACTTGTAATCATTATGCCTATGTTTTTATTGAAATTATTATTATTTTTTGTTATTTCAAGAAAATTATCATGTTCCTTCATTCGTGACACAATACCCTTTTGGAATGCTTCGGTTTTTGAGTAGAAAGCGGGGTCGTAATGATCCTAAAGCAAGAAACATCAAATCCGGAGCCGAACGGTTAAATCCTCCGAACAAGCATTGTATGCAATGCCGTGTCGTGCTTTTAGACGGAACAGATTTGTGTATAGAGTTATCGGTATGTATAAGTACTTGAAATGCGAAAATGTTTGAGTCTGAAATTGTTTAGATTATAATTAGCGTAGTTATTTGGTATATATTTTTTACAATTTGGAGCTGTAGATTGACTTGATATCTTAATTTATCATACAATTATAACTTACAATGTTCTTAATCAAGAAAATGTTCTACACTTGCAATGTCTTTCGACTACACTAATTTTAATTTTAAAAAAATTAGAAATAAAATTGAAACGTATGTCTTAAGTTAAAATTCTAAAACAAATCCTAATATTATGACTTAATAATTTTTGATAAAATTATTAAAAAAAAAAAACCCTAATGATTATAGAAATTAAATTTTAAAAAGTTTTTATTTTTCTGCTATATGTAAAAATATGGGTAAGGGGACATTGTTAAACATTTTATTATAATCTTTAGACTTAAATGTATAATGGCTATTTACATTAAAATTTTTAAATATTGTTTCGTACAAATTTTATGAGTAAGTTAAAAAAATGTTAAATTTAAGATATTATTATACTGAAGAGATTTTTTTTGTTATATTTTGAGTATCTTTTATTCTTATCAATAAAATATAAATATTTACAAATAAAGGTTTTTTTTTGTTTTTAGAAAAAAGCGGTCGGCAGTGATTTATACGAGCAGGTGTTTTATTCTTTGGACTTAATTGAAAAAGACTATTTTGGACTACAATTTACTGATGCTAACCATGTTCAGGTATTTAAAAAAATATGTGGTCTTATAAATCTCATTTGAATCATGTTTTCGGAAAACAATACCTATTAAAAATCTGAAATATTTGTTCTTAAAATGTTTTAGAAGGTATTTTTAGTACAGATCAAAAATATTCTTTACAATGTTATCTCTTTAAATTGTTTCCTATATGTTGTTGCTGTTTAGATCTCCTTTGAAATAATTCCTTATTGAGTATAGTATTATTATTATTGTATTTTTGGACTTGTTATGGGTCTTTTAATAAATTGAACTGTAATAAATGACTGTACAATTTTTGTATGACACTGTTTTTTTTTATAAATTTAATAACTACGTATTTTGTTTAGCATTGGCTTGACCCAACAAAAGCAATTAAAAAACAAGTACGAAGTGAGTATAGAAAAAAAAACCAATATATTCCGATTTTTAAAGACATTTAATACATATTATGTTTAAATATTTTAGTTGGACCGCCTTATACATTCCGACTACGTGTAAAATTTTATTCCTCCGAACCAAATACGTTGCGAGAAGAATTAACACGCTATCAGTTTTTTCTTCAACTTAAATTGGACATATTTGAAGGTCGTTTAGAATGCCCACAAAATACATGCATTGAATTAGCTGCATTGGCTTTACAATGTAAATATTATTAATCAATTTGTTATTTTTTGAATTTATGTGTGTATACGTTTTTAATTTCCTTATTATTTTTTTAGCTGAGCTTGGTGATTATGATGAGACTTGTCATACACCGGCGGTCATATCGGAGTTTAGGTTTGTGCCCAACCAAACTGAAGACATGGAGATACAAATAGTAGAAGAATTTAAAAAGTGTAAAGGTTTAACGCCAGCCCAAGCAGAGACTAGTTATTTAAGCAAGGTCAAGTGGTTAGAAATGTATGGAGTGGACAACCACATTGTTCTGGTATGTAGTATTATTATTACATAATATTATTATCCATATATCTTTACAGCTCTTAAAATATATAATTGTTCTTTTTAACAGGGTAAAGATGGGTGTGAATATGCCCTTGGCTTAACACCTACAGGTATTTTGGTATTTGAAGGGATACAGAAAATTGGTTTATTTTTTTGGTAAGGACGCCTTAGTATAAAATAATAATGAACCATAATTATTATTTTTTTTTTAATAGTTAAAACTGTAATAACACATTTGTCGTTTAGGCCGAAAATAGGCAAGTTGGACTTTAAAAAGAAAAAATTGACTTTGGTTGTTGTGGAAGACGATGACCAAGGACGTGAACAAGAACATACATTTGTATTTCGTTTGCATAATGAAAAAGCATGCAAACATCTATGGAAATGTGCTGTTGAACATCATGCTTTCTTTAGGCTCAGAGCTCCTGTTAAAGGACCTTCGGCAAGACAAAATTTCTTCAGAATGGGATCACGGTTTAGATACAGGTAAACGTTAACTAGATCCAAAATGCAGTAATAACTGTCGTAGCAGAATAACATGAGATCAGTTAATTTCTTCATTGACGACAGGTTGAGTAATACAGAAATTGTCAGTCTTCTGAAGTAAATTTGTTTCGTATAATAATGATTTTTTTTTTTTAGATTTATATTAACTTTTGTAAATTTGATAAACCTAATATTTGAAATGAGATAATACGTAATATTATTTTAAATTAAGTATAGTAATCGTAGTTAAATTTGATAGTCAAAATAGAGGAAACATAGTCAAAATCATAGTTAAGCAAAATAAAATCAAAAAACAAAACTGTTCCATAAGAATTTTGGCTAAAAGCTAAATAGTTTTTAGGGTGAATCAGTCGGTAGTAATAGTTGAGTTAATATAATTTGTGTTTGGCGCTTAATTATTTTAAGAACCGCAAGTTTTTTAATTATAAAAAAAATATACCTCAGATGAGAAGCAATATAAAATATTTTTCAATTTGTTATTTTATTTGCAATTATGATTCTTGTTTTTAATATTAATACTATAACTATTATTATTATAAAGTTATTAAATATAATGTTATGCAATATTCAATGGATCTAAGCCAAAATAGGTACTGAAAACATAATCGCTAATAAATTGATTTTAATAATATAGCGGTAAAACGGAGTTTCAAACAACACAGTTGAATAGAGCAAGACGGACTGTTCAGTTTGAAAGGCGACCAAGTCAGAGATATGCAAGACGGCAGTCTCATGTTTTAAGAGAGCGTCAAAAGTAAGTACTTGTACTAGATGTGCACACAAGGCAGCCGGCCCTAGTCTCAAGCCGATTTTTGCAAGGGTCTGGAATGTTTACACTTTTGTCATAAAATAGTTACATTTTCTTTTACAAATTATATACTATTAATAAAAGTAAAGTCCAAGGCCTGATTTAAATTTAACAAAAAAAATTCTCATAGTACTGTGTTTAATAACTAAAATCCCGAGTTAGTAGAACACATTAAATTTTATAACTGAACTACAAACGTTTTAATAATGATTTACATTGAGGTAACTATTCACTTAGGCGTTTCCTCTTATAAAAAAAAATATATATAGACGATCTGTAGAATAAGTTTAGATTAAGGTTCAAAAGAAATACTGGCCTTGAGAATTTCTGCTTTTACGTTATTAGGTTATGCTTAGTTTCAGAAAATAGGGTAAAAACAATTATGAAGATAATAATATATGTTGATAAGTGTTTATCAAACCACTTAACTTACATGTACTATAATCCAATTTTTAATGAACTGCTTAAATTAACAACAATAAAAAACAACCATAGTAAACATTGATAATTCGCTCACCTGAATTAACTCTGAAAATCATAAGCGATAATTGTAGAAATTTCATTTGTGTTAACATTATAAATAATTTACTATTTAGAGACAAACCAGAAAGGTCTAAGACATCCGAAGAAAAAAACAAAGTAGAAAAAGTTAATATAATGGATAAACCTCCAACTCCTATTTTGGATCCTAAAGAATTACAACTTGAACCAACATCTTCAATAGCTTCCAACGCATCAGGTAAATTATGTCAACTACCGACTTGTTTAATCACTTATATAAACTTTTGCTCAATATCTCCTCTGTTGCATTACATGCAGAAAACTAATATTTTTATGTGTTTATTATTTTGCAATTATAGACGTTGCTGATGATCGCCTAGACTCGTTGTTGAAGTGCTTAAACAAAGACACGCCTATGATAAACGACAACAAAAATGAATCAAACTCTGCAATGTCCAGTTTAAACAGTAAACATGAAGGTAAAATGAATAATTATTGCTTTAACTTGTTATAAACCAAAAATGTGTTATTTAAAAAAATATTTTTGTTTCAGACTATGATAAGGAAGAAGATAAAAAGTGTACGACTTCTCCTTTACCAAATAATAAAAATACATCTTACAGCACGACTCCCAGGCCAATACCTAAAGAACATTTAAAATGTAACATCTTAAAAGGTATCTTAAAAATTATTGGATTATTACAGCTTAAGCAGCTTATTTAAAGGCTGTTGCTTTTTCTTGTAAATAAGTAATTACTTCATCAGTCTAGAAAAAAAATAGTTTTTCTTAAGTTTTTAACATGTTTTGTCTTAGGAGTCCATTGCTGCATGTTAAGTTTAATGTTGTTAAAACTAAAAAATTGTTTAAAGCATTCATAAAAGTCGTCTTTAGTCCGTCAACGGAGATGAAAACGGCAGCTCCTTTTTACCAGATAATTTTTCGCCCGACAATGTCACATTACCATTATGATAGATCATTAAATTGTCTATAAATTAAGTTTTCACACATTTTCCAAAAATGCATTTTTATTCGAGAAAAAAAATAAAACATAACTTTTTTCATTTATTTGGAAAAACAGGTTTTTAAAGTTATTAGGTTATTAAAATGTTTGATAAACGATTGAAAAACGGGTAGAACGTGTTTAATATATTTTTTATAAAATTTAATTTCCTACAAAATAGGTTATAAGAAAATATTTCCTACAATCATCCATTTTTTACTTATAGATGGTATAAAATAAGTCATCTTCTTTCATATAAAAATGTAATTACAAAAAAAAGTCAACTTTTTTATCTTTGATTAATTAATTTCTTATAACCTGTTTTGTAGGCAATTTAATTTTATAAAAAATATATTCAACAAGTTATACCTGTTTTTCAATAGTTTATCAAGTATAATTAAATAACCAAATTCTACCTAAATTATTTTTTCACAGCTATGAACAAAAAGGCGGAGTAGCCCTTTGAAATTTTTTAAGTTCATAAATAAAAACCAACCTAAATTATCTACTGATATATATCTTAAAGCGTTTTACACAATCATAGTGGCATAATTTAAAGGTTTTTTTATTTAGCTTATATTTATTGGTCTAAAATGACAAAAAATCAGATGAAAAGTCTTCAAAGCGATTTTTAAAATATTTTTTAATAATTTTTTTTTTTTTTTTTAATTTAGGTATAAGTGAATAATTTTTAAATCTAGTTAACAAAAAAAAAACTAAATTAAAATTTAATCACTCAATTTTAAGTATTAATTTTTTTTTTTTTTTTTTTTATTGTACATCTTATTACACGATTGAAGTATTATGCTGTCATCCGGCAATCCACAATAATTTGGGCAGCTCGCTTAATTTTTTTTAAATAAAGTTGATTATGTATGTATATTAATTTACTTTATAACACTACTATATTTGTTTTAGCCAAAGTCGAAGAAGAAATGAAGAAAAATCCTTTGACTCTGTTTGATCCCCTATCCACTGGCAAGGTTACCAATTTACAAGATAATAATTTGCAAAATGGGTAAAATATAACAGCTATAAAGTGGTCTTTGGCATTCACAATATAATTTGTTGTATAAAAATGTTTTTTTTTTTAGAGAGTCCCCTTTGAAATTAACTACGTTTGGTAAAGAACAAGCAACTTTTGTATCCGTTGTGAGTATAAACGACTTTTACGATATTACTATTTGTGGTGTATTGCAGCGCTATTAGTGATTTGCTGTGTGTATTGTACATGATTGGTTTTGTTTTTGTACTTATTTTTTGTTTTCCTTTGTTTTCGGCTTATTGCTTGGTATTGTTTATTAAGGGTGGAGACAAATTGACTTTGTCCTTAAATGGCGGCATCGCGGCACCAGAAGAAATTAAACTGTCGACCGAAGAACACTCTGTAACTGAATCGGCGGCTGCGGTATCTAAAGATGACCGTAAAAGATGTGCCACCCCGGTGACAGTTACGCACTTCTCATTTGGAGAGTGCGGTAAATTAGAGCAGAGGGTTATATTATCTCCCGACAGGAGTCCCACCGAAAGCACATCGAGTTTTTTATCTTTGCCATTTGACACTACTTCCCCAACTAGCCCGAGAAATCCGTTTACTGCCAATCCATTTACAGGAGACGCCCAAACTCCAACCACTAACCCGTTTTTGTCCTCGTCAAATCCATTTTCCGATAATAATATTAAAAAAGACTCGGTCAATGGTGTCGTGGTCGCCGTCCTTGATGCAAATTCAGGCACCACAAACGGTGTAACAAATAATGAAACAAAAATACCTCCAAAAACCCAGGTATGTTCTGTTTTTTATTTTTTTATTATTATATTTAAAAAAACAATGTGTAACATTTCATTATAAAACGGACGTAGGGATTTTATTGTCAAAAAACTGGTTCTCCTTTGCTTTTTTTTCCACATGGTATTTCGTACTTGGTTTAATATTATAATTTAATTTAATTTTGTAATAATCAAACATTTTTTGGTGATATTGTATGCTCTTGAATTAAAAATTGAGTTACATCTTTTTTTTCTCTTCCATTTACAGACTTATGATTGTGAATTTGTATAAACTTTATAGTTACTTAACTACAGGTAGTATATGGGGTAAAAATGAATAACCTGTACAGCATAGGTGTAGGAAAGTAAGCCACCCGCAAAATACCATAATATATATATATATAATTAAAATACTGTATATTATCTGTGACGTCGTGAAGCTTTGTAAATAAAGTGTCGTATTTGTTATCGTAGCATGAAAGATTTATTGGAAATAAGTTAAAATTTGTAGGCGATTTGTTAAATAGATTAGTTAAGTAATTGTTTGAAGATATTTATCGTTTTATAGATGGTAGTGTGAATATATAAAATATAACTGATATATATAAACTGCCAATTGATCAATTTAAAATTAAGTAAACAAATTTAGAATAGACATATTTTTTTACTGACCCTAATATCGATAATTATTAAATTTTTCATTAATGTTGTGACTATAGATATTATTATTATTGACTAACATATGTAACTTTTGCTCAGCAGGAGTCGTCCAAGGTAAAACCGTTAAGTCAAATTTCACCTTGGTTAGTGAGTAGCGCAGCCGAAACGACTTCAGGTCCGAAAATAATTACAAGGAAATCCGTTATCACGACACAGCTTTAAAATCAATACTACAAACAACTGTGTGGTATTTTGTATGATGAATGTTATTTATTTTTTAAACAAGTCCATACAAATTTAAAAAAAAAAACGGCATACAACGTATAATTTTTAGCAAATTGTTAAAAAGTAACAATATGATTGACATATTTTGATCTCTTCCATTTTTCTACTATGAAACCAACAAAACAATTTTTATTTAACGCTAAATCTTTACGTTTTATGAATACTATGATTAATGATTTGGTAAATAATTCGCTTGGGATCAAACTTGGTATCTAAATATTTTATTGTATTTGTAATTGTAAAGGCTGCTTTTTTAGTTAAGTTTTTTAAAAAAAAAAATTTACTTAATTCAAAATAAACATTCCTCGCGGTATCGTGAGGGTTACTAAATACAAAGAGTTTATGCACCGCTGTTTTCTGTGATTTTTCGATCATTTTTAAATAAAAATTTATAATAAAAAAAAAAAATAGAGCTGTATTTTATAGTACAGAATATATTATATTGTATTATTATTATTTTAAATATATTTTTTGCCTATGTACTTATAACATTTACATAGAAATTATCGGTTTAGATTTTTAACGACCAAGTACAACACATTTATATTTTTTAATATTCTTTTAACCACTACCAGTATTAGCGTTAGTGTTAATATATTTTGTAATTGACAAAACATTATGTGATTTCCTCCGTCCATTTGAAATTATATACAAATTTTACGTTAATTATTTTCTATCGACCAATGTTTAAAACAATATTATTCCTACTTATTAAATGGTATTCAGTTTTAATGTACTTTTAGAAGTTTGCTCTCTTCATTTATACATTTTTATTTATTTTTTATTACATAATATATATGTATACGTAGTGCCGCAACTAGAAAATTGGTCCACCACTATGATTCTCAACGGATGTCGATTTTTTTTTTTTTAATGTCTACAAACAATTCTTGTAATATTTTTCAAATATTAGTTGCGGTTTTGAAACCGTTTGGAAAATGTTTACGATGGGACTATAATTATTATTAATATTGAACAAGTTATACTCTTAGTCGATTCTTTATTTAACCAATGCATACTTTATTTTGTTATTTTTACTACATAACCAGCCATACATATATTTTTTATTATTTTTATTACTATTATATTATATTATGTATCGCATCATCATCATCATCAACAACATTTCTGTGAACACTTTATTTTATGAACGGAGAGAACGTATTATTATTATTATTATTTGTATTTTTGTGTACGATGCAATTTGAACACGTGAAAAGTATTGTTTTTCTCACTTTACATTTGCTTTTATTTGCCTCTTTATTTGTGATAGTCAACAAAGCAGTATCTTATATTGCTGGTACTTATTTATTTTTTTATGTAATTAGCTAGCCCATTATCAAATGTTATTTTAAATTGGCAACTATTATTATATTATTTTGTGTTTGACATATATATTATTATAATCAACGAATTTATACGTACTCGTATTGTATTTATTTGTATTATTATTATTATTATTATTCGTTTATATTATAAATAGTTATATAAAAACATGTCAATACTACAATTGTTTAGGAATTTTATCAGTATCACTTGTATACGTTTTATAAGCTCAGTGTGCCATAGTCTGTAGGTATATATATATATAGATATTAAATATAATTAAGTTTATTTCGGAGTTTATTCTCTTATAATATGTCAGTATATTATCTTTTTTTTTTTAATAAGACAAAATATATATTATGTTACGTTTTCAACAGTGTCAATTGTAGTAATTGCTTGAAATAAAAATTAACATTTTGTAAACATTCATTTTCTGTAGACGATTGATAATAATTCATCGATTTCCGGTGACTGAGTTTTACGAAACATTTTATTTATGTTGTATGATTTTTTTTAAAAAAAATATAAATTTCATTTAGTAAATTCAGAAAGTTATTTGTTGATCTGCTCACGATAGATTTCCGCACTGCATAATAGGTAAATGGTAAATTAAAAATTCATTTTTTTTATCAAACACGACATGGATTATTAAAAAAAAAAAAAAAAGTATTATATTGAAGTTAAATTACTTCAAAACTTGTGTGAAATATTCTTGAAATGTGCTGGCATTTTTTTACAAGTTATTTATATATTTTAAATTTTTTAAATTTGAATGAAACAATTTTTTTGATTGGATTGAAAAAACGAAATTAAATCCAGGAATCCGGTGTTTAGTCCCAGTTTTGGTTTCACATTTTATGTACTTAGAAAAACGTTTGCTTTGGGATCTACATAAATATATTATAATAATTTGTAGGGCTAGAACACTCAAATCGGTTGTACACAATCAATCTATCAAAATTAATAGGTAAAAATCAGTGTAACGGAGCTATACAGTTTAGTTGACACAATAATACCTAAGCCCTGGGCAAGCAAAATACCTAAATTATGATAAACGACTTGCAGTAGCAAGCCACGCCTAAACTGCGCGGGTAAATTGGGTCAGCTTAGATTAATAATAATTAGGTGGTCTTATAATAATATTATACTTGTTGAATAATAATTAACTTTATATAATATTTTTATTTGCACATAGTATATGTGGACGTACTAGAGAATTGCTAAAAGTCATATTCGGATTAAGCAAATTAAAACAATGTAAACATGTTGAACTTATCTTGAGATCTGTGTTAGCAATTGTGTTTACTAACTATACATATTATAATGATTCATCAAGAATTTACAAACGCTCAATTTCTCCTAAGATAATAATTGTAACTTTGTAGTTTTTCTTTTTGGAGACATTTTAGTTTATGTTGTTTTACAATAGGTATTAGATATTTTTCTATATATTTTTTTCATTTTTTCATTTGTATTTTTTACAAGATTTTCAAGGCATCGACTGTGGCTCGATTTTAAAATTATTTTTTGTTAATTAATGTTTTCAGTATAAAATAAATGAATTATCAAAATAGATTATTTTCTCCTGTGTTATAGTATGGTTCATAAATGTTTAGTGAAAGATTGCCTATACAATGCGCCTTAATAAATGCTAGTGTAGAGGCCCCTTAAGAATAAAATGTTTGCTGAAAATGTTGACCGGTCGATGCAAGTATGAAATAGGTATTATTCCTATCTACGCACTCCTCTAAATTTTAAACTTTAATAATATTAAAAGTAATTATCAAAAACTGGTTATATCGACCAGTGTCGAAATTTTCGGCAAATTATTCTCAATTTATAAAAATTCAGTAAAAATGTGCAGTTACCGTTTCAATTTCAGAAGTTCCATAGAACTCTGGATAAAAAAAATAAAAGGATAAAAATTCGAATATTAAACACTAAATTGTTTAAAGAAAAAAATTACAAAATTATTGCAATTAGAGAAATATTGAACGTCTCGTCCTGATAACGACAATCACTCTGTACATATCTGGCCGTGCGCGGCCCGCAAGACAATAAACGTTATTATAGCTGTTATTACACGCGGTTGGGACGACGCACGTAAGGCCGGCGGCAGCCGACAAGGATGCGTGACGTTGCGCCGGTGACCGCGCGACGCAATAAGCCCGCCGAGGCAGCGGCGGTCGTTGCTATGCGCGTTCAAGCGGCGGACACCCGAACGGTGAATGGCTTGGGTGCGCGGTGGGCGTCTTCGTGGGTCAACCGATGTGATACATAGCCGGCGATATTACTAATATATGTATGTATCGTGGTCCGGGGTTGCTACAAAACGGGTTTGTGCCGATGAGTAATGAGCCGCACGTTTTATGGTATAAGGTAGACTTCTACCATAAAGTAGGTATATATATATATTATTATAATATTCTGGTTCCGTACCGATGACATTGGGCGGTTAGTTTTTTTTTTTCATATAAATATAAATATATTTATTATACAACATTTTTAATTTATTTTATTTTCTGAGATTTTCTAAACCACGCGCTGCGCAGTTTAGCTGTTATGCAAATGTAATACACATCGAAACGCCCGTACCGACCTACCGACGTCACGGTACAACCGCGGTACCCGCCAGGCCCAACCGCGCGCCGTCTGCAGTGTACAATAATAGTCGTTGTTTATTGTTTTTTCTAAGTACACACATACCGATTGGAACGTTAACAATAATATTATCATTGCATACGCCAATTCACCCTCATGTTATAATATCTCCGCTTCCTCTTCTAGAAGGAAGACCTAACCTGTCCGGCTGAGCAACAGTTGTCCACAAGCCAGTCAAGTAGCTTGGGACACAGCTTATACAAATCGAGTCCTTAATATTAAATCCTTTTCGAAGTTTGCATTTTTGTTACTCGCTCATACTTCATGCAGATACATCAATACCCATGGATGTGTCCTGCAATCTAGTATCTCTAATAGTATAATCCTTTATAAACCTTATCCATACTCCTCCTCCATAAACCCTCCATGATCCTCCTCCATAGTTCCTTAATACTCCTCCGTAATCCATAATGACGTCAGCACTGTGACACAAAACCTGACGGACACTATCTTTATTAATTGACCTCCACAATCCTCCTCTATACTCCTCCACAGCCCTCCACGACCCTCCATAACCCTCCTCTGTAATCCATAATGACGTCAGCACTGTGACACGTGTAACATGTTGGACACATTTTCAGAATGACCCTCAGCCATAAGACATACCCCCTCCCAATCGGCTATCAATAAGTAATGATATCTATTATTTATACATTGCGGCCAAGTCTGTTTTATGCCTCATTCAGAAACTGGCTAACTTTTACATATTTTAGAAGAGCAGTGTTGCTCGTGAAAGTATAGGAGTAAAGTGAGGCATAGATATCAGTTATCACTACTTTGATGGACAGAGACTCTTTTGCAAAATAGTATCCGGAAGTGGGAACTGGGCCTTCGAGGGGTATACATTTTTTTTAGCGACTTTAAATATTATTTTATTGTACCTACATCGAGAGGACGCCACACTACATTTACTGGCTCAGTCCGATTAACAGCTGGTAACACAGCGCAATATTATGTTACTTAAAATTTAAATTGTGGCGTTCAGGTTGAAATTATAATTTTAAATACAAATAACAAAATTTGAAGAAAAAAAAATGATATTTTCGAACACCTCTCTGTTGCTTTTTCTCTAATATATTGTAAAAAAAAAAAAAAAGGTTACAGCCGTTTAAAAAAAGCAAAACTAACATAAATGTAACTTTTTTATTTAAAAAATATATTTTGTTTAAATGTACACATGATTTACCTGCTACAAATAATATACACCTATTAACATGCTATTATGGTTAATTAACGTGGCCATTTCAACACCGAACCCGATTCTATGGGATTGCGATAGATAATAAGATACAGCTGATAAAAATGTCTGATATCTAAAAATAATTAATAACAGGTTACCAAATGACAAGTAAATATGGAAAAAACATATATTATAATAAATCTTAAAATAAAATAAATCCAACACTGTGCATTTTTATAAAGTATATTAAAAAAAATAATAATACAAATTATATAATAAATGTTGTATACATGTTTTGGTTTAAAAAAAAAAAGCGTCAGCTATAAAATCTTATCTTTAAGACAATTTACTAAATATTTTTCTAAAACGTATAATTTAAAAATTATTTTTTCCTTTCTTAAGTTAGATGGTCCTGTGTGTAAAAAATAAATGACATTTCAACTCGCGTGGTAATAACATGACCCACTTCAACTTTGATGAATAATTTAACCAATGGAAAATGTGTTTTTTAATTTTTTAATTAATGAAAACCGATTAAACGTTTTTATACAAACCAGAATCTTTTAAAGATAGACTTCTGCACAAGTTGTAATATTTAAGTTTTATATTTAGTGGGATCAACATGCCCCCCCCTCCCAATCCAATATCTCTTTTAAGTACTTGTTACAAACTCCTAGAACGCCTACTTTACAATAGAACTTGCTAAATTATCGAGTCTGGATACCAAAACGGTTTAAAGACCTCAATCGCATTCGTAGAAAAATAATAGAAACACACTATCGACTAGAGGAACAATATTAACAAGAGGAGATTGGCTGGTAATGGAAGAATTAATTGACAAGCAGATAGGATTAGCGGATCTGGGAGAAACCTGGGAAGGGTGTGACGTTACGGACAGAATAAAATAACATATTTACCTGACATAGTATTCTGAAGATGGCGATCGTACAGGTTCTCTAACCGCTGTCTGATGGTGTGCTTCTATGATGTCAACTACTTTTACCGTCCAACATTTTTACGACCAAGCCTTCTGGCTTTCTGGAGTTGACACTCATTGAGACGGTCATCAGCGTCATTAAGAATCGTAGCAGGCAAGATGCCGCGTCTACTAAACCACCTCCGTCTTCGCCTGTGATGGCCAAGACCATTCCAAAATTTAAAATGCCAACTGTAATTGCAAAAACAATTAACATGTAAATAGAAATAATTAGTTAAGTTTCGTTTAGTTCAGACTCGGTGGACGGATTGGTATTCGGTTAACGACGATTGCTTCTTATTTCTCGGATTGAATTATTATTGATGTTAGATGTTGTTGACCGTGTATCCCCGTGTTAGGCTTTCAGACTTGGGAAAGTTGTCTTGACTTTCGCAGATCCGCCGCAGAGTCCTTCTTTAGCGGAGCATAATGTATAGGTACCGCTTGGCTGCTGAAACTACACTAACCTCGGCCATTGGTTTCACCTGTGCTCCCTCGTTCAATGATGACCAATTCTGGTGCTAAAGGGTTTTCTCAAACACGAGTGTCTTTGTTGTACCACACTACTTGGGGGGGGGGGGGTAAGCTTTCTATTATTTCAATTTTTCATTGGTTTTCACGCATTGCTGAATTTCCAACCACCGTCGTCTCTGCTGGTGTTAAAAGCGTTTTTCTATTTCGAACTAGGGGGGAGTCAATTGCCCCCAATCGATTTGTTAGATGTCTCAGTTGACCATTCATTAAGAATCGGCGTATACAAAATTGAAGAGGCAGCCAACTGAAATGATAAAAATCGTTTATTTTTGGCAAATTGTATTCAAATGGTCAACTTGACAAAAATGGACAATTTCTGACAACCAGTTTAGTTATTTGAGATATAATGTACAGCCAATTGATTATAGTTATACCTAATGTGAATCAGGAATGTTTTACTGTCGCTAGAAATCAAAAGTCTTTCGGCAAATTAAATCTTATCAAAAACCACTTAGAACACTTCAAAGGTGTTCACAATTGAATGGTTCAATGTTGCTTTCTTCAGAAAAGGATCTAGGCGATCAAATTAATTTAGATTTAGCAAAACAAAGGTTTACAATTTTTTTCTAAGAAGATTTCTTATTTGACTTATATTATATTAATTTTCTTATTATGTGTACATTAGGGTGATTTTTTAAAAAAAATTTAATTTGCTTGAGCTGTTATATTTTTCAATAAAGGTTGTAGAAAAAAACAAACACACACAAACTAAAGTTTGTCCAAAACGAAAGAACTACAAAATCACAAAGCGAAAACGAGTGTATGAACCACCCTGTATAGGACGTAAACACGGGGAAAAGGCCTACAGGGATTTGCCCGGTGTTCCGGTGCTCGCTGTGGGCCTATGACTTAAACACAATATACAATAGGTATACACTGTTCGCTGTGTTTTGTTGTTGTTGGCTCGCTGGCACGCCGGGCGGCGCTGTGGTCGGCCTGGCACGTTTCGGGCGGCCGCGAGTTGCCCGCGTTCCGGGGGATATCCCGGAGTGTTTCCCAACAACACCCCGCCCGCCCCGGACGGTCCCGCGATCCGGACCAACACGTGTTTATCGGGTACCGCGAGCGTGGCGGGCGGGCGGGCGGAAACGGGCGCCACCGCTGCGCGCAAACCTCGCCACACCGCCACCGCCCGTCGCCGCCGGGCCAGACGGTCGGAACGCGGCCCCTCCACCGCACCGCCGCCGGTGCCGCTGACTCCGCGCCGCGCGCGTTGGCCGTATGCCTTTCCCGCAGCACGTACGGCGACGTTGGATTCTCGAGTCTCGACAGCCAGCCACCAGCGGCAGTGAGTACTGAGTATACCACTACACTGTAGTAGTAGTAAACACTTGTTCGGCGCGCGAGCTCGCCTGTTACGTCATTAACCATTTGGGATACTATTCCTTTTTTTTTTATTATTATTATTTTATTTACTATTATTATTAACTTTTTTTTTTTCGTCAAATTCAAATTATTTTTCTTATTACATTTTTTTTTTTTATTATTAAATTCGAAATCGTTTTTTTTTTTATCATTTATTTCGACGATCGTTTTTTCGCGCGTACGTGTTTGTCCGCTTAAAAAACGCAACATTTTTTTTTTTTTTAATCGCGTCCCGTTCGATCGATTAAAAACAACAATAATTATTATTATTACACACAATGACCGAGCACAGCTGCCGTCAACAGGTACGATTATTGTTCGTCGCGCACGACACTGTGGTTTCGGCGACAATCCGGCATCCGGATGTCTTTGGAATGTGAAAAACAATGCCCCGAAAAAGATTGCCGGGGGAGCCCCCAGTCAACAGCAAGATAAGTGAGTATAATAAGTGTGTTTTTGTTGTTTTTTTCTTATTATTAAACGGTCAAAACCCGTGTAAAAAAATTCGAAAATGTATGTACTACGTTCGTTGACGGCGCAGCCAAACGTAGAGAAAACGTTGTTATAATAATATTGCAACGTTAAACAAACAAACACCGGCAAAGGTATTGGGTATAATAATATTTACCGTTTCGACCGGAATGGCGCAAAACAATAATTAGTGTCGTACGCGCGCGCTCGGCCGCCGGACGCGTCCGGCCGTCCGTCGGATCATTTGCGCACCGACGTCCATCTATCGGCTATGATAATAATATTATTATTCTTAACGTGACATTTTATTTGTTGTTGTAGTCGTCAATGGCCCGCGGTGGACGGCGTTTCCTCGGGGCCAATTATAGAGTTTCCTCATACAAAAAAAAACATTGTTCCACAATAATAATATCCTTTTTGGCCGCGCTGGGATATTGTACGGTTACGGCGGAGTAGGCACTGTACGCGGAGAAATGTGCGGATTCCCCCTTCTCTCCTCCCGACCGCCGACGCCGCCTCCGTCCGTCCGTCCGTGCTTACGCCGCGAGCCCCTCCGCCGCCACTGCCGCCTCATCGTGCCGTTCCCCCGGTCAAACGGGTCACGAGGAGTCCCCGGCGGAATCCTACTCACGATATTCCCACGTTGCCGCTGTGCGTCGTCGCCGCCGCCGTAGTCCCCCGGTGTCTCGGGCCACGTCGGCACCAAGGTTCCCTTTATTGCGTTATTGGCATATCGTCCCTCCCTCCGCCGTTTACTACCTCCTCCTTGCGGCTTACACCTTCTTTAACCGATATAATAATATAATGTAAATATATATATATATATATATTGTTTGTACAACACTTACCTCTCTCTCTCTCTCCTTCGATACCCGCCGCCGCCACTGCCGCCTGGCCCTCACCGCGGCGCTTCCATGTACACACACGAGTCGTCCACTATGTTTACAACCGGGTTGGCCGGCACCTGTTTTCTCGTCCGGCCGTCTACGCGCATATTATAATGATAATATTATTCACACTTCACAGAGACAAATCATATATATGATTGGAAAATTAAATCATTATATTAACGTATCAAAACTTAAATTGAAAACGTCCAACACTTCCCTTTCGAAATCCAGACAAAGTACAGGTTCGTGCTTTGTAAAAACATTAAAAATAAAACCCATTTTCCTTCACAGAGAGGCTAGACATAATTTGTATTTATCTTTTTCCAGCATTGCCTAAAAGGACTTGAGCCCGGAAAATTAAACTAGAAAGATAGGTCTCGTGTGGCGGCTGACTAAAAACAAAATAAACGATTTTCTCAAAAATCAAACTTTTTCAATTTTTTATTAGGAAAAACCGAGACAAATAAACTACACGTTGACCGTAATAAATTATCGACAGTGCTTATATTATTATAATATTATATCTACAGATACGCATCGAAGCATTCATTCCAATGTGATTTTGCCACTTTCAGTTAGAATATAATATATTTCCCGTGTTGACATCTGATATTCTACACCATAATGATACATTTTTTTTTTTTTAAACTGCAGAAAATTCCGTCACAGCATAAACGTGTTATCCTCGTGTGTTGTGCACGTAGTCCGCAGAATATACATATTATGAAAAACCGCGAACACGGTAGTTCAATAATTAAAGTGCAGTAGTTTATTAAATTGTCTCGAGAAATATATTTTTATTTTTTTATTTTATCATTTTTAAAGCACTCGCCGTAGTTGATTAACATTATAACATTTTTTACTGCATAATTATTATGATATACTCTATTTGTCATTCCGAAAAGTCACGGACAAAACCAAATTTGTTCCTTTTTTGAGCTTTTGTACTTGCACCGATGTCTCAATCAGTACGTTATAATTATTATTATTATTATTAAGATGTGTGTTTTTTTTAAAGAAATAATAATACTCGCTCGTTGTTATGGTACCACATATTATTATGATACAGGTACAACGTAATAACAATATACTAACGAGTGGGATTCGCCGACCCGATGAGTAATAATAATAACAACACTGTAATATAATATTATTATAATATCACATGTATAATACATATTATTATTAGTGTTGGCGAAGAAGACGGCTCCGTTTTCCATTACGTCACCATAATATTATGTCGTTTCAAGGAAGTCTAAAATCAAAGCGTGGTCATTGCAAAATCATTGGAAAAAAAAATTCCATACAGAGTGATTCACTATAAGGGACAACACACTCATTTTGTTTTGAAAAATAATTACAATTTTATCATTTTCTTCTTAAAACATTTTTTTTTTATACATTATATTTTCCACGATTACAAAACACCAAATATTTACTTTTTTTTTCTAGTATTTTCCGGCACGCTATTGACTTTTTATACTTAAACGGTAATGTTTGTGTTTAAATAACTTTCTAAAATAAAAACTTGTCGATAATTTCGACTGGTCGACAACCGGTTTTGGATATAATTACTTTTAAATTCATTAAACTTGAACGTTTAGGACGGGAAGGTAAAAAGCGTGGTGGGAGTCAAAAGTCAATTAAACGTATTCGTTCTCATTTAAGTTTCAAAAGTCTATAATGTCATGGAAAATACTAAAAAAAAAAAAAAAAAATTTCCAACAGTATCTAATATTGTACAATGTAAGACATAAGTGTGTTCGTTTAAGAAAAAATACAATTTTTTTATTAATATTATCCTAGCAACCTAGAAATTGTACCTACGGTTAAAGTGAAATTGGGGGGGGGGGGCGTCTCCTAATAAAAGTTTCAATTGGTCTAATAAGGACTTTATACATTGGTATTTTTCACTTGAAGAGTGGTCTCGGCGTGATCTCAGAGTGGATCCAGTGCTGATGTCGTTTTTAGATTTGCTTCTGATTCTGCTGCAATCATAATGTAGTCTGCGTGATATGTCGCTATGGTTATTTGAGCGTTTTCTTGGGTTTGAACGCCTTTTGTTTGTCTCTCTATTATCGTTCTTACTAGATATTATTATATACTCCAGCGCTAGCAGCATAGGGCATAGTGCATCGCCTTGTCTTCATCGACCAGTTTCCACACAAAATTCATCTGATGTCCGTTGATTGTACCTGACATTGCACTTTGAGTTTATGACTCATGTTTAATGTCTAACCCAATTTCTCTGGTTATATTTAAGGATTCTCTTGTAATTGAGTCGTATGCTTATTTGTAGTCTACAAATAGGAGAAATAAATCTTGATAAGTTTTAAAGTTACACTAAAGTTTAAATTTTAGAAAGGTTGGAGTGTGCATTTCTCAACCACACTTCCGTCCTAAATTTTAAGTTTAAATAACTTCAAACATATTTGTTCAAAAATGGTTATCAACCGCAATCAACGTTGTTTTCAACGTAAATGATTTTTAATTTAAAAATTCAATTGAATATTTATCTTAAGTACTATAATATAATTTTCATTAAAGTTTTAAAAAAGTTGGCAAAGCTCTAGCAAATACTAAAAGTAATAAAAATGTAAATATTTTCTGATAACGTACTAGGTATAACTTAAATAAATAAATTTTCATAAAGAAACGCCTCAAAATTCAATTATTTCAAGAGTTAACCAGTGTAAGGCGTTTTATATAAATCGCCAATGCTAATACAATACATTATAATAATATACATACATACATAATATTACAATAATATGATAACATGAAATGTGTACGTTTTGATATGTAATTTGGATTGGTAATTTCTAAATATATAATATAATGATTTTTTATGTGTTACCATATTTCGAGATAACACATGTTTCTTTTGTACATAGGTGTACAATTTATTTCGTATATTTATATTTACATGACGTCGCGTTTAATTGAAAATAATCGCATGAATACATATATATACAGGGTGATCCATTTAACGTAAGACACTCATTTAAGTTTTGAGAAACAGAAGGTAGAAATATGTAGCGTTTGTAAAATAATGTAAAGAAACATAATTTCAAAAAAAGATAGGCTATTTTCTTCACCTAAGGGTAGTTTAACAAACGACCACGACAGCGTCTTACGTTAAATCGATCACCCTGTATACACGAGTTTATATATATAATAATATACATAATATTAATTAACAAGCCGCGGCGTTATCGGCACCTCTTTAAATAATTACTTTATTACTCTTACACACACAATGGCACGTCGAATGCGGATGATAGAAGAAGAATATAACTTAGATATAAAAAAAAAAAAAATACTTTTTGCCCCCTCTCCATATAAATGCGCTCTGTAATCGTCCGTTAGTTATTTCAACAATAATACATTACAATAAAACATTTTATAATAATTATTCTTGTAAAAAAAAAAAAAAAAACGTGTGCACTAGCCACATTAACCGCTGATTAGATATACTGTGTATGTATATTATATTATTATATATATATTTTTTTTTCGCCGCCAGTTTAGACAGCGCAGTCAGACACAGCGTGTATGTACGATGATGATGATAATAATATTATAGTGTTTTCCTTCTAAACTCTCTTTTGTGTGAGTGTGTGTTTGTTAGTGTGTCAAATATTATTTTACAAGTATTTACTTTTACATATTATTATTATTTCACTTGGAAAACGTCGACCGCGCATTTAAAAAAAATCGGTATTGTTATTGTTGTTCATCATTAATTATCCTTTTTAAACGGCTACGAATTCCGGCTGCGGTGACACACGAGCACTACTACAGAGCTAGCAAACAGGAATTATTATTAGTAGTTACCTTTGCATTAATAAAATATAATGGACGACCGGACAAGGCGTTATTATCGCCGTTTATTTTCCGTCAAACAATAATAATAGTATTTTATGTGGCTTTGAAACGCGATACGTATGGCGGTGGCTCTCCTTTTTACGCAGGTAGGCGGAAATAATATCATTAAGAACTTAGAGGAAAAAAAAATTGTGCACTCAAACCCAGGGGATGGCTACAGTAGTTTTAATGTGGTGACGCAAACGG